CCGCAGTCGGTCACCAACAGGCCTGAAGGCGGGAGGGCAGGGCTTGCCGTCTGAAGCCACCGAGCTCTGGCGTCATTTCTCACACAGCAGCGCAATAACCGCTTAGCAGCATGTTGGCCAACAAAGCAGTCGGCCCAGCGAGCAGAGTCAGACGCCAGGTCTAAGCAGAGAGGAATATCTGAGCTGCCGTTATGTTAGCCATCATCTTCACCTTCTGGCAATTTCCTCCTCTCATGACTTCAAAACTCTGGGTGCTGGTTCCCCAGGATTTTGCAGAAATGAGTCTCTGGCAGATCTCTGGGGTCTGACCCAGATATGGCAATGCTGTGTCCAAAATGTGACTCTCGATGGCCTTTGACCCACAATAAAGACGGAGCTTGTCATCGGGTACGTACCTCTGCATGTTACTTTGGCGCGTTGTCTGTTTCGGGAGCAGCAGGGGGAAAGGGAACGGGAAGACGGGCGAAGGATCGTGAGAATGACACACCTAGGCCTCCCCTTGGCCCCAAAGACATCCCCGCAGCCCTTGGTGTTGAGATGCCCGGGCGGCTCTGAAATCCACCTCGCAGTTTCTGAGCTACGAAGGAGGAAGGCACGGCTCCTGAGCGAAGTGAGTTACTCAAACGCACTCGAACGTCTCCATCGGAGCCGGGTTCACGTGATCTAACTCTCCCGTCCCTTCTCTTGCCCCCAAGAGAAAGTGGAGAAAGGCAGAGACCGGACGTGCAGGGGCCCTCGGGTGTAGACAGGAAACCACCCAGAGTGCTGGGCTCCAAACAAGAGGCTGGCAGAGGAGTGTGCGCAGCCGAGGGGGCCATGGCCCATCCCTGAAAGGCGAGTGGCCTCCACGGAGGTGACTGGAGCAGGGCGGGGTGGCAGGACCCTTCCGCTACCCCTGTTTCTCCCACGCGAAGTCAGCTGCAAAATGAAAAATAAGCAGAATAAAAGCTCCGTAAAGCTCCAATGAGACGGTTCTGAGGCCACCCGCGTGTGCGAACCAACCCAGGCGGGTGTGGGCGCCGCTGGCCACCCCACGCCGGCCGCCCCGGCTCTCTTGAGATCCCAAGAAAAGAGCGGCGGCCGATGGATCGGCCCGTCCCGACTTTGCGGAACCACATCCTCCCGTGGGGGGTTCGTCGACCTCTGCTCCCCGCTTCGCCTGGGAGACGCGACCGTGATGTGTCACAAACACGCGAGGGTAGCGAGTCGTGCACGGCTGCGCGGGCGCTGAACCACTGTACTGCAGCGGTGTGCACGGGGTGACCGGAGCTGGTGGATGAGGAACCCCGAGCCCCTGGGCATGGGCCTGAGACCCCTGCAGACGGCGGCAGGGGCGCCGCACTCCCAGGAAACGCGAGATGACCCGGAGGGGCCGGCGCCCTTACGCCTTGGTTCTTGGCACTCAGGGTGATGAATACTTTTATGACCCAAAGATGCGGTTTGACTTGAAATTTGGGGAAAGTTTGAGCACCTTCCGGAGTATTTTTATTATTAATTAGATTGAGTTCTCTAGCACGCTTAGTTAGGAGAAGTTGTACTGCTGTTTATTCTTGGAGAGTCTGCCATCCTCCAGAGCCTGGTGGTCAGCTCAGTAAAAAGTGACACTTTCGCAAGACCCCTTGTGCTCTGAGGAGCACGCTCAGGTTGGGGGCAGCCAGTGAACCTGAGTGGACCTGAGCTTCAGGACGGACCCCCCGTGTGCACCCTTCACCCTGGAAACTGTGGGAAGTTCTCGCTCTCCCTGCAAGTGCCCACGGAGGCGTCTAGAGCCACGTTGAAGGGCGTTGAGGGGTCTTAGTCTGCTGAGTTTGGATCCTCTCGGTCGGTCACTGTCACTCCTTATGCAAACACGAAAGTCCTTTTTCAGACTTCTATTATGTAACGTACGTTTTAGACTCTGGCATGTAGAAGGGACAGCATTTATACAGTAAGAAAACTTCATTTTTCTGTATCCCCTGTAGCTGTGAGATCCTGATAACAGGAGCTATGAATTAATTTTTGTTTCTCCAGGGACTAGCAAAGTGGTGAACACATGCAGGAAGCACCTTGTGCTGAATGAAGAAATGGAGGGGAGAAGCGTGTGTAAGGGAGCACTTCATGGCATTGAGTAAGTGAAAAAGCAAGCCAAAGCGATGGTGGTGGTGGTGGTGGTGGTGATGGTGGTGATGGTGATGGTGATGGTGATGATGGTGATGATGGTGATGATGGTGATGATGGTGATGATGGTGATGATGGTGATGATGGTGATGATGGTGATGATGGTGATGATGGTGATGATGGTGATGATGGTGATGATGGTGATGATGGTGATGATGGTGATGATGGTGATGATGGTGATGATGGTGATGATGGTGATGATGGTGATGATGGTGATGATGGTGATGATGGTGATGATGGTGATGATGGTGATGATGGTGATGATGGTGATGATGGTGATGATGGTGATGATGGTGATGATGGTGATGATGGTGATGATGGTGATGATGGTGATGATGGTGATGATGGTGATGATGGTGATGATGGTGATGATGGTGATGATGGTGATGATGGTGATGATGGTGATGATGGTGATGATGGTGATGATGGTGATGATGGTGATGATGGTGATGATGGTGATGATGGTGATGATGGTGATGATGGTGATGGTGATGATGGTGGTGATGGTGGCGATGATGATGATGGTGATGGTGATGGTGATGATGGTGATGGTGGTGATAATGGTGGTGGTGATAATGGTA